CCCCCCCCCCTTTTCTGGAGAGTTTTAGATACTGTGACCAGCTGCAATTTGTTCTGCTACAGGATATTAAATGACTGCAATTCACCTGGGTAATATTGTGATGCACATTTGGTAAAATATCCTTTGATAGATCAGTTCTCAAAATTTACACACTAAGCCAGATTGAGAGCGGAACATGAACTAGAAAGAAAGTTTTTATTCCTCTAAACTTTCATTTAAAGATTTACTAACACACTTTTTCTGTGTATCTGATTAAGTTAAAATGGTTATGATTGTTAATAGAAATATCTAATGATGTGCTTTGAAAAAATATTGTTATATAAAATGAAGAGAATTCACCAAAACAAATTCCTTTATTATATTAATGAGAGAATGAGAATTATTTTAGGGTTTTGTTTGAAGCCTATTGTATGAAGAAAGAGTTGTCTGTACTTCTTATGAAGTTGGGTTTTTTTTTAAATAAGAAAGAGTGGCTTCAAAGAAGGTAGGATTTATTCTTAAAATTTAAAACACACACACACACACACACACACACACATATTACCATATTTCATTATTAGTTTGCATGGGTATTGGCATCTGTGTGTGTGTTTTTTTTCTTCAGCCTTACGACCAGATTGCTACTGAAACTAAAATTCAGAGAGGCACAAAAATTTAACCAGGTTTTAGACAATCTAAATAGATCAGAGTCCATGAGCTAGAATTCAATAGTATTCTCACAGGAAATTGCCATGAACCTGATTATTCCTAATGTTACTGTTTTACAGCTTTGAGATTTTATTATGCATTTTACCAATTCACTTTAAATTAAGGAGCAGCCTGTTTCAAGTAAGAGTGCAGTTTTCATTTATTTATTTAAATATGCAGAACCAGACGCTAAATGATTTGTTGTAGGCTTTCATTACTTCACACTATAACAGCCCTAGACTCAGACATTATTTCCTTTTTTTTTAATATATGAAGAAAGCAGTGTTTCAAGGGATAAAGCTCACAACTAAGATTGCGTAGGTGATAGCGAGTGGGGTGGAGCAAGGATTTGAATGATGAGAAGCTAGCTTAAAACTAACAGTAAATGGCATTGATAGCTTTGAAAAATGGGATTATATAAAAATAGGAAGTCCAGCCATTGTTATCCGAGTAAAAATGTACAATAGTTTGGAGAAATTGAGTTGTTAGCTGTTGCTGAGTCAGCCCCACCACCTGGTGGCACTATGCAAAAGAAGACTGGACAGGTTGTAATAATGTGTAGGCTTTTCAGTGACTGATTTTATTTGCTTTTGTTTAAGTATTTGTTTATTTTTTTACTGACTGGTTTCAGAAAGTCAGTTTCCAGGTCTTTTCTTCCTAGTTCATCTTAATCTGAAAGTTTCACTAAAAAATATTTATAATTATAGAAAGATGTGAAGCACCACTGAGTAATCCATGTTGGGGTGCTTGACTGAGGTTCACTATTAGCTGGGAACACAAACCACATCTTCTGTGTGGGAGGTCATTACTCTTCCAATCAATCACCAAATGCCACATAAATAGGGATAATTCAGACATCTATAGTTCGAGATTGAACCATGAGGTAAATATGGCTTAAACAAGTAAAATCATGCCCATAAGTTATCAATGGAAGTTTTTATTGTCTTCACAATATTCTACTTAATGTGTAATATCATTGATAAATTCACCATGACCAAGTGGGATTCACAACACGTATGCAGGGATGGTTCAACATAAGAAAACCAATCAATGAAATTCACTATATTAACAAAGTAAATAACAAGAATCATACGATCTTAGCAATTGTTGTAGAAAAGGCATTTGACAAGAGCCAATAACTATTCCAGATAAAGACACTCAGCAAAATTGGAATAGAAGTGAATTTCCTCAACATAGTGAAAAGTATATATGCAAAATCAAGAGCCAACATCATTCTTAATGGAGAAAGAGTAAAAACATTTTCCTTGCAAATAGAGACCAGACAAGGATGCCCACTGTCACCACTTATTTTCAATATTGTATTGGAAGTGCTTGCTAGGGCAATACGACAGGAGAAGGAAATAAAAGGCATCCAGACAGGCAAAGAAATGGCTAAACTGTTGCTTTATGCAAATGATATGATTGTGTATACAGAAAATCCCAATGATTCAACAAAACCAAAACTAAACAAACCTCTTAGAGTTAACAGGCCAGTTTAGTTGAGTGGCAGGATAGAAGATCAATATCCAAAAATCAATACGATTCCTCTATAGTAACAAAGAAAACTCAGACTAAAATAAAGCAAGCAATACCATTTACAATAGCCAACCACAAATAGAGATATTTGGGAGTGAACATAACTACAGATACAAAAGACCTATACAAAGAAAATTATAGAGCATTTCTGAAATACAGAATAAAAGACCTAAAGAAATGGGAAAATGTGCCCTATTCATGGATAGGAGGACTCAATATGGCGAAAATGACAATCCTACCAAAAGCAATCTACATGTTCAATGCAATTCCAATCCAGGTACCAAATTCATTTTTCAAGGAGATTGAAAGGGAAATTATCAAATTTATTTGGAGAGAAAAGAGACCCCGAATAAGCAAAACACTTCTGAGAAACAAAAATGAGGTTGTAGGCATAACACTCCCTGACCTCAAAAACTACTTTACAGCAGTGGTAACCAAAACAGCATGGTACTGGTACAATTACAGGCACATCAGCCAATGGAACAGAATTGAGAACCTAGAAATAGACCCAGCTATCTATGGTCAACTGATATTTGACAAGGAAATCAAAGCTATCAAATGAGGAAATGATAACCTCATCAACAAATTGTACTAGCAAAACTAAACTTCCACCTGCAGGAAGCTAAAACAAGATCCACATCTCACACCATGCACAAATACCAACTCAAGGTGGATCAGAGACCTGGGAGTAAAGCCCAAAGCCAAAACGTTCTTAATAGACAAACTGGGAACCAGCTTAGAAGCACTAATCCAATGTCTAAAGAGACTGTCAAATACAATCCGAAATGCACAATCTAAAGAGGATATAATTGATGAATAGGCCCTTCTAAAGAGTAATCTCTATGCACATCAAAACCTTTTTCCAATAGGGTGAAAAGAAAACCTACAGACTGGGAACAAACATTTGGTAATACCATTTCAGACAAGAGTCTCAGAACAAAAGTTTACAGAATACTTCTGGGCCTCCACAAGAAAAAGACTGTTAACCCAATTACAAAATGGGCAAAAGACATGGAAAGAATTTTCACAGAGGAAGATATTTGAATGGCAAACAGATACGTGAAGAAATGCTCCAAATCACTGGCAATACAAAATGCTCCAAATCACTGGCAATCAAAACCACAATGAAGTACCATCTCATTCCAGTAAGAGTGGCAAAGTTTAACAGGGCAGCAAGTAATAGATGTTGGAGAGGATGTGGTGAGAAAGGAACTCTTATACATTGTTGGTGGGATTGTAGAATGATGCAACCATTCTAGAAGGCAATTTGGCACCCAGTTATTCCACTACTTGGAATATACCCTGAGAATATGAGACCTGAGGCACAAACTGAGATATGTACACCAGTGTTCACAGCAGAATTATTCTTCGCAAGATCATGGAAACAGCCCAAATGTCCAACCCAAAATGAATGGATTGAGAAATGATGGTACATTCACACAAAGGAATCCTATGCAGAATACAGGAACAATAACTTTGTAAATTATTACCTAACTTGGGAGGGACTGGAGAGCATTATCCTGAGTGAACTAACGCAGTCCCATAAGGATAAATATTGTATAAGACCATTATTGTAGAATGAGTATAAGGATCCAAGAGGGGTGGGAGAGGCTGGAAGCAGAGGGATGTGGATGTACAGGGGGAAGAGGGAATTAATCATTGGGATGTACAATTTGATGGGTGGGAGAGGCAGTGAGGGAAATTGAAAGAATTCATTTGAATTTGTATTAGAATTTTGTAAATAAACTAATGCAAAGGAAAAAAAAGAAAAATGTCTTGGATTCAAACAGATCTAGATTCAAATCTTGATGCCAAGGTATACTAGTTTGGATAAATTTGACTTAACTAGGTGATGTTGTGAAAATAAAGTAGATAATTTAAGTCCTATTCATGTGTTAGTGTCTGTGACATGATATGTCCTTGGTAAATACAGGTAAACATAGATAGAAAAATATTCTCCACTGGATTTATTATATCTAAAATTACCACTACAAAAGCTATTCCACTATTAGTAATATACTCACAGAAAAATAGAAATGAGACACAAAAGGAGATTTGTGCACTGATGTTCATAGCAATGTTATTTGCAATAGCAAGAAATGGAAATAGTTCAAATGTGCATCTACAAAAGGATTGAAAAATGTGGTACATTCACATGATGGAATACTATGCAGCACTCAGGAGCGATGATTTTGAAAATGACTTCATAGCAAGGGAGAGGCTAGAGAATATTATGCTGAGTGAAGTAACTCAGTCTCATAAGGACAAATACTGGATAAGACCATTATAGTTAAAATAGAGGAAAAGTGAGATGTGTATAGATGTCCAAGGATGAAAGGAGAACTGAGGGGAGGAAAGATACAAAATTGCAGCATTTGGTGGCTGGAAAGTGTGGTGAAGGCATTGACATTGACAAGGATTCAGTGGGGATCTGAAAGGATGAGTTAATAGTAGATATAGATCAATGGTGATTAATTTTATAAGATACAATGTATGGGAATACAAATTCTTAGTAAGAAGTAACATATGGAAAGTGTTCCCTCTAGTGTTAGATAGATAAAGGGTAATGACTCCATATACAGCCCTTAATAAATTATTAATACTTTTTTAAAAGTACATATAATTCATGTCTAATGATTTTGAAGGTCAGATTTTCTATTTTAAAGTTTATATTGGTTTGCCTACAAAAATTCATATACACTGTGTTTCACACATTCCTTCATTCACATTTTGTTTCATTCCCACACATTGTGTTTTATAAAATTAATAACCATTGATCTATATTGGTATCTATTTAAAGGTCAAAGTTTATAATAGCTTTAAGGAAAGAATTTAGAGCTATTGGCACTTTTCTTTAGTTTTCATCTTTTTTTAAGATAAAGCAACTTTCAGAATATTATTCAATATAGATGATAAATGAGAATGTTTTTAATTCTCTTAACATTTTAAAAATGAATAATTGACAAAAAAGTAAAAGTTACAATCCCCCCTTCCTAAGGAAGAATTTATATTTTATTCACTATGCACTATAGCAAAGTACCTAGAGTTATTAATTTTTGTCTGTTTTTTTAAACTTCATCTTAAAAGGCAAACAATATATGTACAACTTTTCATAAGTAATTGAACAACTTTAACTTAAAAAATGGAAAACATTACTTCTTTGAGAAATAGTCATTCACCATAAAGGAGTTCTTTATGTGAGCATGGCATAGTTCATAATGGGTTGCTTTACTAATCAAAAAATATATCCATCGCTGATGGCACGAATCCCTCAGCAACTCCTCAGTAGAAAGATGGACAGTCTCATCCTGTTAAGATTTACACCTTTGCAAAGCCAGTGGAGGGTCACTTCAAGTCTGAAAGGATTTGACGGCCGTGAGTTCATTAACCATTTTGATTTCTCAGCATTATTGTTTTCCTGGGACAAATGGTCCCACCCACCTGTGAAAATTTTATATTTGGAAATTATTTCCATGCTAAATAAGACCAGTTTTCAGCCCAAGTTAGATATAAAATATTGAGGAACCCTTTGTTTTGTTTCTGTCAACTTGTATAGGGTTTTTGTATTTTAATTTGCCAAGCATTGGGGTCTGCTGCCTTGTGAAGCTGTCTTACATGAGCTGCATAGCTTCAGCCTTACAACATTGTCCTTGATGGTTTCTATTTTCTCTCTTAGTTAAAATATCTCCCTCAGAGTAGTACATTCTGGAAATTTATGTAGACTTTCACATTTTACTACATGGAGTTTGGTTGGTGAATATAAAGTCATCTTATTTTTTAAAAGGAATATTTCTGCTGCATTGGCTTTAAAGTGAATTTCAGTAAAGCAAATACTCCCATCTAACAGTCAATGGGGTATATCTCACTCATGGACTCTTTTTCATGCACTCACCAAATATTTATTGAAAGTCTAATAAGAACAAAGCACTTTCCTAGACTCTGTAAACAGTAAATTGTTTTCTTTGAGTTTGACTACAACTCAAGGCACCCTGTGTGTATCAGAGAAGATCCTAGCTTTTTAATTTAGAATGGCTGTTTTTCTTGGAAATCGATCACTCGTCATTAGAGGTTACTTGAACCACCAAACTTTAGGTTAGCAACCAAGAACTTCTTGTACTACTCAAGGACTCTTGAGGAGAATATAAATTTAAATGAGTCATCATCTCATATCTAAAGCTCATAATCTGTTGAAAAGACTAATCCCTTCTCTGCCTTTGCACCCATCATCCAAAACCAATTTTCACACTATGGAAAGTTTTCACATTCTTGAGGTAATTGGTCCTCATCACACTCTTGCTGTAATGACAGACATTTCTAGTAAAGCCAGACAATTACCTAGAAAATAATATCAGACTGTCATTTTTCCAGAACTACATAGAAATCTGATATTTAATATGGAGAAAAATAGTTTCTGGACTTACATCCAAACCCTCAATAATGCAGGTAGATAACAAAGAAAGTTTGTAAGTAACAAATATTAAAATGTCTCAGAATCTTACCTGGCTGTAAACAGGCTCACTGGCTCACCCACTGTTTTAATCGTGGAGTTTAGTACAAGGAAGTTCTGTTTTGTTTTGGGGTTGGTTTGTTGCCGCCTCCCTGTCAAATCACATTGAGAATGTTATATCTAGTTCTGTACACAATAGTTAAATATTTACTTAACTGTTTATTGATTAACTAAAGAAGAACATTTTTATACTCTCACAAACAAACACATGGTACGTTAATTTTATAAATGTACTCCATCTTACTTCTGGAAGAACTAGTTGGAAGAGATTTACTAATTCAGTAAAACGAGTGTCGTCAGCGCTCTTCCCATCGATGTCACAAAGTCGGCCACTTCCTCGCCACACATTCCCTCATCACTTAGGCTATCTGTCCATCTAGCAGCTGTGAGACCTAGGTAACTGGTGAAACCCTGGAAGAATGGTACTGTGAACACTCAAGAGAAAACCCATAAACACCACTCCCACTTTAGGAAGAAGCTATTTGTGAGAACTTGTAAATTCATTCCTTATTCAGCACGATTCTTATGCCACGTTTATGGGCAGATCTGTGAAGCCTAGAATGCAAAATAAATGCAAAAACTTGGTGTTATTAAGTTGACTCCAATGCAGGGCGACCCTCCATTAGATTTCCCAGGCTGTAAATCTACAGGAGGGAACTGCCCATCTTTCCCCCGCAGAGTGGATTAAAATTGCACACTTTTGGTTTGCATCCTGATGCATTACACACAAGTCCTCCAGGGTGCCCTATAGAGGTCTGTGTATTTTAACTATTTCTCAAGGTCAGTTCCTGAAACATAGCTGATACCCAACAAATATTTGTGGATAAGACAAAGGCAGAGGTAGAAGCAGAAAAAGAAGGGTGGTTAAGAAGAGAGGGAAGTGATTCCAAAATAATTTGATGTTAAAAAATCCTAACTGCAGGAATTTTTATTGTCAGAGACTGAGACTATAAAAAGAAATGTCAGATAGGAACAAAGACTCCTTTCTCTAGTGGTTATAGTTTTCAAGGAAAGTGGATTACCACGTTTTGCAAACAGGCTGAGTTAGATGCAACAAAAAATAGCAATAACTGTTTGAAGAGGAAATTTATTTATCTCATGGGAGACTCAACACTGTGGCAGTGGATTTACTACTTCCACAAAGTGGTGACAGTATGTATTTTATTTCTCAGTTGTAGTTGACTTTTGAGGTATATTTAGGACAGAATCCTTTGCTTTCCCTTTCTAATGGTTGTTTTAGTACTATTTAAAAAAATAAAATTGTAAATTTAAAGAAAGGTTGGGTTTTCATTCATTCAGTTTTGCACATTTTCCTCCCTCCCCCACATTTCTTTTCCCTTAGTTCCCTTTGCAATGTACCTCTTGTTTCAGGTTGTTGTCATATATACAGTGCTTAATGATATATTCCTTTTAGACAGTTCCTCCCCTCATCTTTACCACTATCCTTCCACAGTTTTCCTATTCTCCCCACCCCCACAGTTGTCAGTCCTGTTTTATAACAGTGATGTGATGCAGTATTTGTCCTTTTGAGACAGAGATATTTCATGCAGTATAATGTCCTCCAGGCTCACCCATGTTGTGTAAAGTGTTATTGCTTCACTACTATTTTTAATTCATCAGGTGTGATTTTTGATTAATAGAAAATACACTTTAATACTTTGTTCACAGAAATATTAGTACCATCTTCTACATATCCAAATGAAAAGTTCAAAGTTTGGTTAAATTTTAGTGTATCTAACAATTTTGGGCCTTACCGCCCATGAGCAGTAGTGTTCAAAACAGTCACAGACAGTCTTGGTTAGCATTTCATAGGTGGTGTGTGCAATTTAAAAAGGAAGCCGTTTTCCCAGGCTCTTGCAAATCCATGTGCTTCTGGATACTGAAAGGCACATTTTGATTCAGTGGAAAAAACATAGTCATCCATTTGTTACTGAAAAACTGTTCTCAGTGAAATTTGAAAACTACATCCCACAAGAAATTGACTGGATAGGAGGAGACAAGGACACTGCCAGTGCCATTACCCTTGGCCAGCACTTCAGACCTTTTCCCATCAACATTTTCATCCGTCGGGCCATCAACATTCAAAAGGCCATTGAATGTCTATTGCTGTGAAGCCCAGAGACCAAAGCTATCTTTAAAATGGAAAGCACCAGGGAGCTGGATCTAAATGCAGAGATGTTTAGTGACTTTCATGGTACATTCAGAATCTTATAATGCATGATATTTTTTGTGGGTCTCAAAGTTGGAGTTATTGATGCCTGGGAAATGACTATTGCATATCACATTGATAGTGTCCACCCTCCTGATGATGTGATTGGAAATAAAATTAACATGTTATTAAAAGACATTTGCTAGAGGGCAAATATAGAAAAAAAGTCATTCTCTATAGAGGACCTCATATATACTTCAAGAATGATCCAATTCAGTATGAGGAAACCAAATTGAAAAGAATTTCTCCAGTGCAAAACATTATCATCTCTAATTTCATTTTAATAAATAGATGACTAAAATTGAGTAGTGCAAATAATTACATTTTAGGGACAAAATGATATTTTAACCTCAAGGCTGGGTTATGCAGCTTAGTACTGAACTACTACAAATACATTAGGAAGTTCTTCATCATATTAGCTGCTCACTAATTCTACTTTCTCTGTAGAAAACTTTCAAAATAAAGTCAAATTATTCTTGCAGTCATCACCCTTAATTCCTTAAATCAGTTATTTCCTCACCAATTGCATCTCAAATTACTTCAACCTAGTTCTAATCTGATGTTTCTTATGTTCTTACCATTATTCTTCTCTTAATGCACTTAAATTTGTCTCTATCACTCCACAGTGCGCCTTTCACTCACCCTATCTCTTACACTAAAAAATTGAATGACCTAATTTAGATATGATCAATCAGTTCAGAATAACAAGAGTGCTACTTCTCTTACTCTGGAGCTGCACCGTCTAATAGCCATTCGTCACACATGGCTGTTTAAATTAAAATGTAATGAAATTAAAAACTAGTTTTTCAATGACACTCATTACATTTCAAATGTTCGGTAGTAATACAATAGTGAGCAGTACAATATAGGCTTACAGTTTTCCTTAGAGAGTGCTTTTTATGTTCTGTTGTAGTACTTAAAATATGTCAGATTATATTTTGTAACTCTATATGGACAGTAAAAAGGAATCAGCATTAAATTTAGAAAGGACAGTATTTTACCAAATGTTTTTGCAATAGCTGGACATGCAAAAATAAATGGATCTGGACACAGAGTTTACATTTTGCATAAAGATCAGCTCAAGCAAGAAGCATAGCCCAGTGCATAAGGCACAAAACTATACATACAATTTCTAGAAGATAACATGAGAAGACATCTAGGAAAATTGTGTTCGGCAACAGATGCACGAGCTAAGTGTATGAAGCATTAAAAAACAGACTTTAATAAAATGAAAAACTTTTGCTCTACAAAAGACAGTTTTGTATACCAACGAAGAAGTTTATCTTTTGCTTTTCAAAGAGAGGAGTGAACTGGGTGGGGCGGGGGGGGGTTGTTGGATAAAGAAAAAAGTGCAACAATGAATGAATGAAAATCCAAAATCTCTGTAAATGTTTATTAAAATTAATAAAATAAAATAATTTTTTTTAAAAAAACCAGTTTTTAATAAAATGAAAAGACAAGTTACAGACAGGGAGAAAATATTTGCAAAATACATGCTTTATAAAGAACTTAAATCCAAGATCTAAAAAGTATTTAAACACAATAAGGAAACTAATTATCTAATTACAGTATGATCATGGGCCAGAAACCTCATCAAAGAAGATATACAAATGCTCAATGAAAGCAGTGATAACAGATCACTATTCACTCATTAGGGAGCTCTGGTGGCCTAGTGGTAAGAATCTGTGCTGCAATGTCAAAGGCACGAGGTTCAAAATCTACAAACTGCTCTGCAGGAGAAGGATGGGCAATCTCCTCCCGTGTTATTACTGGCACTGAAAACCTGCTAGAGGGTCAACTGTGGGTCACTTTCAGCTCAATGGCACACAACAACACATATTCAATTAAGTCAAACTGAAGTCAAACTATTAAGTCAAAGTTAATTCTAACTCATAGCAACCATCTAAGCTGGAGTAGAACTGCTGAATAGGGTTTCTGAAACAGTAAGAATTTATGGAAGCAGATTGTCCCAGCTTTTTTCCCAAGGGTGCGTTTGAACCATAGTAGGCTGCTTTGAAAGAAATAGCAAAAAATAAGCCCCAGGAATAGATGGTATACCAATTGACGTATTTCAG